CAATCTAACCTTACACCTAAAGGAGTTAAACAAAAACAAAAACAAAAACAAGAAATGAGGCCAAAAGCCAGCAGAAAGAAGGAAATAATAAAGGTCTGAGCAGAAATAAATGATATAGAAATAAAAAAAAAACAATAGAACAGATTAGTAAAAAACAGGCGCTGGTTTGTTGAAAAATTAAAAAAAAATTGATAAACCTCTAGCAAGACTTATCAAAAAGAAAACGGACCCAAATAAATAAAATCACAAATGAGGGCGCCTGGGTGGCTCAGTTGGTTGGGCGACTGCCTTTGGCTCAGGTCATGATCCTGGAGTTCCTGGATCGAGTCCTGCATCGGGCTCCCGGCTCAGCGAGGAGCCTGCTTCTCCCTCTGGCCCTCTCCTCTCTCATGTACTCTCTCTCTCATTCTCGCTCTCTCAAATAAACAAATAAATCTTTAAAAAAAAAAAAAATAAAAAAATAAAAAAAAAAAAAAATAAATAAAATCACAAATGAGAAAGGAGAAATAACAACCAATACAATAGAAATACAATTCATTATAAGAGAATATTATGAAAACCTATATACCAACAAATTGGACAAACTGGAAGAAATGGATAAATTCCTAGATACATATAAACTACCAAAACTGAAACAGGAAGAAATAGAAAACTTGAACCAGCACAGACATTGGGTCACTAATCCAAAAACTTCCAACAAACAAAAGGTTAGGACCACTGTGATCTTTTATGTCTATTAGAAAAAGTTAAAAATTTTGAAGGACATTATAGTAACACAACTCTTTCTTTCCCTTTTACTTAAGTGTTAACACCTCACATCTGCAAAAATAAAAAATTCTAATAGAACTGATGTTAAATCCCATCCCATTTGACTGGTATATCTTAATAAAGCAAATGTGAAAATTTTTACGTCCATTCATACACTGCATGTAACACTATTCATAAAGATTACTGAACTGCGAAGAAATGGGTCATGTAGCATCTTTTGAGAGAAGTTTAAAATGAACTTAAATTTAAATATGAATTTTTGTTACAGAAAAACTATCATAAGGTCATTAACAAATATTTTGAACATGAAGATAACATTCGGACAAAACTCTGTGAGAAGTGGAATAGAAAATATGAATTCAAGGCAAAGATGATTGACGTAAATTTTCCAGATGTTAAAGAAGAGCTTGCTTATGTACATATATTTCTAAAAATAATGGTACTGACATCAAATTGCGATGTTATTTAGATTCAGTTGGATACACGTAGAAGACTGATTTAAAAGTACTTAACTAAAAAGACAATATTTACAGGGGCTGCTGGGTGGCTGTCAGTTGAGCAGCTAACTCTTGATTTCAGCTCAGGTCATGATCTCAGGGTCCTGGGATTGAGCCCCGTACTCAACAGGAAGTCTGCTTGAATTCTCTCTCTCTCTCTCTCCCCCGCCACCCCCATGTGCATGCATGCACATGCACTCTCTCTCTCTCAAATAAATAAATCTTTTTAAAAAACCACAATATTGACAGTAACATCTTTTACAACTAAATAATCTCATAACTGCAATTTTTAGATAACTTTGTGTACAAGTAGATACATAATTTAAAGGAATTTTTTTATAAGTGTGAGAGCAAACAGGTGGAAAGATCACTGTACTTGTACAATTTGCCAAGATATAGAATGTGAGGTGATTATCATTCAATGAAGGTTAATAATAAATGTGAAATTCTTCATGTAGGTTTTAAATGTAATCTTTATATTTTCTGTAAGACTGTATTAGTCAGAGATCTCCAGAGAAACAGTATCAATAGGATATGTGTGTATATACATATGTATATATATATTGCTTTGTATTATATAAAATTATATATATAAATAACTATACATAAATACAAAAGAGATTTATTATAAGGGATTGGCTAATACTATTATGGAAGCTGACAAGTCCCCAGGTCTGCAGGATGAGTCAGCAAGCTAAAGACCCAGGAAAGCTGACGGTGTAGTTCTCATCCAAAGGTTGGCAGGCTCAAGAATTAGGAAGAACTGATTTTTTTTAGTTTGACTCAAAAGGCAGAAAAAAGCTGATGTTCAGATTTGAAAGCAGTCAGTCAGAAGGAATTCGTTCTTAGCTGAGGGAGGGTCAGTCTTTTAGGTCTATTTGTACCTTCAACTGATTTGACGAGGCCCACCCACATTAGGGATGGCAATCTGCTTTACTCTGTTTACCAATTTAAATGTATTTTTAAAATAATTTTATTTATTTGAGAGAGAGAGAGAGAGAGCATGAGCAGGGGAGAGGGACAGAGAGAGAGAGGAAGCAGCAGACTCCCCACTGAGCAGGGAGCCTGATGTGGGGCTTGATCCCAGGATAGTGGGATCACGACCTGAGCTGAAAGCAGACGTTTAACTGACTAAGCCACTCAGGTGCCCCTACCAATTTAAATATTAATCTCATCCAGAAACACCCTCACAAGAGTACTTAGAAGAATGATTGATCAAATATCTGGGAACCCTGTGGCTCAGTCAAGTGTACACATAAAATTAACGATCACAAGTTCACCCCTTGTCAATTTGGTACCCATACATATTTCCTTAAACTATACTTAAGCTCCAGATGAAGACAATATGTCATAATTCCACACTGTTAGATGTGTCTCCTAATGCTGTCTTAACCTGGGTTCCTTTTCACTGCACTACAGCCTGGAAACTTTGCATGTAGTATGCCAGGGAAGTTATAGGGCTCTCTTTGTATATTCTGCACCTCTCTGGCATCACTGTCCTTTATTATTTGATGCCCAGTGTCTTGAAAACCGTTGTTTAATATATTTTGCCCTGTTTCTTAGTTGTTTCAGGGATAAAGAGAAATCTGATCCTCATTAACATATCTTGGTCAAGAGTGCAACTTTTTAAGAGTCTACCTTTTTTACTCTAATTTTATATATTTTTTATTGTATCACAAAATTGTTCCATGAGGGGCGCCTGGGTGGCTCAGTCGTTAAGCGTCTGCCTTAGGCTCAGGTCATGATCCCAGGGTCCTGGGATCGAGCCCCGCATGGGGCTCTCTGCTCGGCAGGAAGCCTGCTTCTCCCTCTCACACTCCCCCTGCTTGTGTTCCCTCTCTCGCTGTGTCTCTCTCTGTCAAATAAATAAAATCTTTAAAAAAAAAAAAAAATTGTTCCATGAATAAATGTTTGCACTACCTAACTACTTACATAAATGGCTAGATAGTTTAAGAAATCCTGATTTATAACTTCACTCCTTCACATAATCCAACAGAGGACATGTAAAGTACCCTGAGATTTTTAATATTAACTTGTACAAATTCAAGGTACCTAGGAAAGGTGTTAGGGATTAGTTTTCAAATAAAAAGTGCAATTCTCTAAAGCAAAATGTGTTAGTATATCGCCTAGGTTTTAACATCAGTTGCCTAGGTTGCAGGAGGCAAGAAGGAAGAATAAAACACTTTATTCTGAAAACCAAATATAGCTGATTCTTTAACAACACAAGTTTGAACTACACAGTCTGCTTATATGTGGATTTTTTCTAATAGTACTGTAAATGTATTTTCTCTTTCTTATGATTTTCTCAATAACATTGTTTTTTCTCTAATTTACTTTATTGTAGGAATACAATATATAATACCTACAACACACAAAATATGTATTAATAGACTGTTTATGTTGTTAGTAAGGTTTTTGGTCAGTATTAGGCTATTAGTAGTTAAGTTTTGGGGGAATCAAAAGTTATATGTGGATTTTTAACTGTGCAGGGATCAGTGTCTCTAACCCCCATGTTGTTCGAGGGTCAAGGGTTTTCCTGCTTCTGGCCTGGCAAAAATTGCCGATATGGCTATAAAGATGTTTGATACAAAATCTTAGTCTTAATATTATGGTGGAATGTGCCATGAAGAGCTTGTACAGCTTCTTTAGGACAATAATCTTGCCTTTTACTATTCCTAGCAAGCATAGTACTGTCCAGAAATTGATGAGAATAATTAAGACCAGGGAAAAAGAACAAAAGAACAAAAACATCAAGAAAATACTACAAAAGCCAAACACCAAAAATAAGAACAAAGGAAAACAGACTCTGCAACCACGAGAAAATCATTTGGAAAATTATACAAAGATTTCTCCTTTGGACTTTATGACAGTATTATTTAATAAGCAAAATCTGACCCATATGAGAGAATCATGTGAGTTTTACCTCAGTATTAGATAACTTTTTTATAGTGGGCATAGAAATTTGTTGGTGTCTGTTGATAGCTATGGTATATTAATACTTACTATGCTACAAATTCTTTATAAATGACTATGTTATCTGTTATTTTGCAGACCATGCACTGAAATGAAAACAGCCTATGGGAGAAAATAACTTTAGATTCTATTTCAAATAATGACTTCTATTCAAATAATGGCTTAAGTTGGGTTCCTGTTCTGGACAAAGAAATTAAAAATTCTAAATGTGAGAATTGTCCTCTCTAAGGTGTAACGGGTGTTTTGGCTTTAAAAAGATAGAGTATATTGATCACATATTTTATTATTATTGCTTGTTACTTGGAAAAGAATAATTTCTGGCAGTCTCAAAGCAAAATAAGATTAATAAATGAGTACTTTTAATTTCTGTATCTTTCTTCTAATTTATGTCTTTAGGACACTGGTAATATCAGATAATATACTATTGTTTTCCTTTACTTAACTTTTTACAGAGTTATCTTATTATGACTATAGTAATAACTTTTTTTATTGTCAGTTTTTAGTAGCTTATTAATACTGTTCCCAATGCCAATATCAATTTAAAGTTAAAAAAATTGTCTAAGAACACTATTTTAAAAAGTGAAACTACATGTTCAAATAAATTTGATACTTTAAGAGAAAAAAATATATGTATGGTTTCATTAATGAATTTAAATATGGTTTTTAGATATACAAACATATATCTTGTTTACATATACCTATATAAGCAATACTTTTTCATGAAATGTTCAAAATGCAATACTGAATTTGTATATCCTATACCTGTAAAATATCAGCAGGGTCTTCTTTTGCAGACGCAACCAACAAAGTATGACCATTGATGATTCCTTCTGCCAGGAAATACTTGAAGAGCAAAGAAGAATAAATATTATATTTATCCTCTTCTGTAAAAATGAAAAAAAAATTATAGTCAGAATCCTACCATATGCCAAGCACACTCAGATGTTTTAACAATTTTTCTCCTTAAAACAAGTAAATGAAATGGGGCAATAATTGTCTTCCTAAAAAAGTACGGTTAGATAGGCTAAGACACTTACCTAGATAGTCAATGGGAAGTGAGTACTTTTAAGATAGTCTAATTTCAAAATTGTTCTCCATCCTCTACACCACCTCTGATATCCACAAAATTTAGAGGGTTACGTATGATTATGGCAAAGAAATCACAGAGTTTTTTTTTCCTAAGATTTTTTCAGGCATTGCATCTCTAAAATGCCAATTCTTACCTACCAACTAGTTTGTAAACTCACACTTCATTTCTTACATGTCACAATAATTAAGTACTTCATTGTATGTAGCCTGAAAGTTAATATTTATAAAATTTGTAAAAATAGTATTACTTCTTCAAAAGCAATTTAAAATTGAAGACTTTAATCTGAGAGTTCTTAAATTTGTACTAAATGTTTTCCTAGTAAACAGTTCTTTTACCTTTTATTATTCCTTCATCCTCCCTTCTTTTTGAATTTTTATGAAAAAGTCATATACCTAAGGTTTCTTTGACAAAATGTGTTAATATTTTTGAGATTTTGTGATATAACAACTCAAGTATATCTTTGTTTCCTTAATATTGATAAGCTACATGCCTACACTTTTATATCAGCTTTAATACTTTGAGCACAACACAGAGACAAAGGTAGATTTATTGAATTATTTAAAAAAGAGAAACCATTATTAATTTATTCAACAAATATTAATTGAATTCCTATAATAGGTCAGGCAATGTTAATATTTGTAAAAACCACACTATTAAAAAATATTCCTAAGAAAGTTTGAACTTGTGGTAATGTTAGCACTGTGCACAAAGCCCTTTGGAGCTTTCAGTACAAAACCTGAATAAAATATCATTAAAAAATAAATATTTAAAGGCACTGCAAAACAATGAAAAGCAGACAGCAACCACAGCAGTTTCCTTTTGAAAGACTGTGATCATGACATGCAAGAACTTCAAGTTTCTGGCTTTTTTTTGCCTAAAATGGGGTCCTTAAGCTCCCCTAGCTCTGACAGCTTTAAATCATATCCTTTCCAGCTTGAGGTGGCAGAATATAGAGTTCTGTGTTGTCAAAATAGCTGAAAGTTTAGGGGAAAAATCCTTGAAGTAAGAGAGCTCTGCAAAGTTTATCAAATGTGCCCAAATCCGTGGTTGACCACTAAGCTATCAATGCATGAATGGGAGAAAAAACAGTAAATAGGTAAGAGAGAACAGGTTAAGTTGAAAGACAACTAAATCATGTGAGATTTAAAAATTTGATGCTCCTTTGAAGGCATGCATTTCCCAATGAGCAGAATCTTATAATAAAGAAAGTTGAAGTCTTATTGACTTGAAGTGGCAGAGGACAAAACTCAGGGCTGAGAACCCCAGAAAGTGTGAGCCCCCAAATGTGAGTATAAATTCTGGATAAATATTTGGCTCTCTTCTAAGCTTCTGACTGTAAGGGACAGGCCTGTGTGACCAGGTTAAAAAAGCAAGACCTAAAAGCTAGAAAATTGAGCAGAGATACAGAAATACTATCTGCTGCACAGTATATTGAAGTGAGAGTTCATTTAAGATCAGGCAAGTTAACTGTCTATTAAAACAAAAAACCTGAAATCCTCGGGACAAGAGAATGGAATTCAGAATCATTAAAATGCATTTTTTACAATGTAAAGATTTCAACCAAAAATCAGTGAATATGATCCATACTAGGGAAAACACCACCTACAGAAACTGACTCAAAGTAAAATTTATTCAAAGTATTAAAGGAGGGGCACCTGGCTGGTTCAATCAGTAGAGCATGTGATGCTTGAGTCATGAGTTCAAGCCCCATGTTGCGTGTGGAGCCTACTTAATTAAAAAAAAAAAAAGAACAAAGTATTAAAGGACAATATATCAATAAGTGAACAGAAAAGGAATATCAACAGAGAATGAGAAACTATAAAAATGAACCAGATAAAAAACTTAGAGTTTAAAATTTATTCCTTATATGAAAAATTTCTTTGGTGATCTCATGAGTAGATTGGAGATGAAGAAAGGAAAAAATAATTGGTATACCTGAAGGGAGATCAACAGAAATCATGAAATCTGAATGGAGAAAAAAAATTAAGAAAGTTGAACAGAATGTCAGAGACACAGAACAATATAGAGCAGTCCAAAACACGTTTAAGTGGAGTCCTAGATATTGGGAGACAATAAGAAAAAGAAACAGTACTTCAAGAAGTGATGGCTAAAAATTTCCTAAATTTGATGAAATATCCAATTACAGATCTAAGAAGCACAGGAAGCTTCTTCTAGGATAAATGCAAAAAACCCAAATCTAAGTACCTCATATTAAATCTTGGAAGCAGCAGGGAAAATGGCATGTGACATACATACAGTGGCACAATGATAAAATCAACAAGTGATTTCTCATCAGAAACAATAAAAGCTAGAGGATATGATAATTATATATTCAAGAGTTGAAAAAGAAACAACTTAATCAAAAATTATAAATGTGTAAAACATATTTAAGAATTGAGGTGAAATACTATTTTCATATAGGACAGCAGACCTGTACTATAGGACACTAAAAGCTAAAGGGAAATTATACAACATGGTAACCTGCACTTACAGGAAGGAATAAAGAATACAAATGACAACAAATACGTGCGAAATTATAACACTCTGTGATCATATGTATACATATTTATGTGCATGGATGTGTGTATATAGATGTATATATATATGTATGTGTGTGGATAAATTAGTTTCTTAGAATTTCTTTAAAACTATCTGTTTAAAGCAAAACCAACAAAACTAAGCAAAGAAAGACATAAAGTCAACTCGGAGATTTTATCATACATTTCTTAGTAATTGTCAGAACTAAGGAGGAAAATCATCAAGAAGATAGAAAATCTGAACAAATTCATAGACCACCTTAGATAATATACAGTTCCAGAATATATATTTAGTGCATCTAGAATGTACACCAAGATAAACCATATGCTATTCCAAAAAACAAGTCCCAATATATTTCAAAATATTAAAATCTTACTTTAGAAACTGAAATTTTAAAAATTCCATTTATGATTAATTCCAAAAGCATGAAATATTTTGGAGAAATTTGACAATACATGTGCATGAATTAGCTCCACACTGAAAAGTAGAAAATATTCTGAGAGTAAGTAAGGAAAACCTAAATAAACAGAGAAGTATATCATGTTCAGGGAATACAATGTTCAGGGAATACAAGACTCAAATCTTTCCAAAGTGATCTATAGATTTAATGGAATTCCAGTGTAAGCACCATAACATTTTTGGAGAAACTGATAAGCTAATTCTGAAATTTACACAGAAATCCAAAGGTCCTAGAATAGCCAAACAAATTTGAAAGTGAAAATCTACTTCAAGACTTAGAATAAAGCTACAACAATCAAGGCAATGTGGAATTAGCTAAAGGAGAGAAAAATATAGATCAGCATAAAAGAATAGAGTCCAGAAATCAACCCACATAAATGATTTTTTATAAAGGTGGAGAAATAATTGTTTTTTCAAATTGTCCCAGAACAATTGGATATCCAGATGCAAAAACATAACAAAAACCTCAGTCTTATCCCATACTACAAATTAAAAAAAAAACCCACAAAATTTCTATCTTACTTCATACTAATACTCAAATCTTATCTTGAAATGGATCAGAAAACTAAATACAAAAGCTGAAACAATAAAACTATTAGAAGGAAACATAGGGGGAAAAATGGTCACATATACAAATGAAATAATTCTCAATAAAAGAAATAAACTAATGTACATGCAATATGGATGAATCTCAAAAACATTAAGCTAAGTGAAAAAAGCCAGACACAAAAAGTACGCATTGCTCGATTGCCTTTATGTGATACTCAAGAGTGAGTAAAAACTATCTCTAGTGATAGGAAGGAGTTAGGTGCCTGGGGCCAGAAAACTTTTTGGGCATGTGGACATTTCGGGGGATGATGGAAATGTTTTCTATCTTGATAGTTGTGGTGGTTCTATGAGTATTTATATTTGTAAAATCTCACTAAAATACATACTTAAATGGGTCCCTTTATTGTTTGTAATTAATAATTCAGTAAATTTGATTTATTAAAACAATTTCCTAAGGTGCAACTAAAACACCAGGTGGTAACTTGTTTATAAACCTTCTCAGCACTGTGTATTAGAGCAAATCCATGATCAGAAGCATAGCGGATTTATATGAAGTTCAACTTTATATATTAAAGAACATAGCTAGTTAATACTATCATCACAAGTTAAAATCCACAAATCTAAAAGACAAAAAATACGTTTGATATGGATTTAGGAGCAATTCATGAGAGCTTTTGTGTGTCAAGGAAAACATTTTCAATGCCTCTGCACTGCTTACAGCTGACAGGCGGAAAAGCGAGCAGAGAACTGTAGATGAGATGACCAGCACCGCCTATTCACTAATGCAGCTACCATACCGGGAAAAAAAAATACTCATTTTACATAACTAACAATTTGTCTTTATTCAACTTTAGAAAAAACCAGAAAGTCATGTTTAAAAAAAGAACTGATTTTATCTTAAGGAATTGCTATTAGGTCGGTTTACAGAAGCAACCATATAAACCAATTACAAATCACTGACATAAAAACCAAATCAGATACTAAAAATCTTAATTTCTAAGGTTGACATTTTTACAACATGGGAAATTTAAATTTTTAAAAATTCTTCCACCATCCATCACCCTCAGAGAATTATTGCTAAAATTTGCTATATTTCCTTTCAGTACTTTTTCTGTGGATGTTTTCTTATATGGTTACAATTATTACTGAATTTTGTATCCTGGTATTTTCACTTAATCTCACATGCTTCATAGTCTTGTAGCTATAGTGTTTCGGGGTGCATAATATTCTAGAAAATGTATGTCCTAT